ATGTAGATGTGGTTCCATTGAGGACCACACGCTGAGTACGTCCGGTCAGCCAGCTACGGATCCATCTCTGTCTCAAACACGGATAGTTTTTCATTTTAAAAGCATTGCAAAAATCCTGTAAGAAATTCCTAACTTGGCTTTGAATCCTAGTTACAGTGAAAAGAAAACTTTTGTTTTCTGCTAATAGGAAACCTTAGCTTTCCCCGGGGGAACCCTGGAGAGAAACGACAAGAAGCTTCTTTACCTTTGCGCCGGAGGACCAATTTGTTGAAGAGATCTGACATTAGGTCTCCACCTTGCCCAGTAGATCCCACTGGAGGAAACACAAAAAGAGAAATCCGACACAGAAGTCAACAAATGGGAGAAAATGAGGAATCTGCGGGTAAATCCGTACACTTGGATTGAAGACTTCACATAGGATTGTTATCCCAATCTACTCAGATATTAGCTACACTGGAAGAAAACGTCACAGGCGTGCTCATAAAATAGTTTTGAAGGCTACAGATTTCTCTGCCATACAGTAATGCGTGCCCACAGTCAAATTATGGGTGATCTCTGAAAATAGGATGCAATGTATCACGCTAACTACCATTCAAATGTCTGTTAAATGTTTCAATGTTTGATTCCCCATGATGCCAGGAAGGTGGCCTATAGAAAGATGGCCCAAGGTGGAAGGACAGACGATACCTTGCTCCTTCTCCTTCTGCTTTTTCTTTTCTAGTTTCCTCTCTTTGACATTACGGAGCTTGGCCTTCCCGATGCCACCAGCTTTGCGGATGGATTCCATAAGAGTGGCCCGGCCACTTGATGGGTTCACCACTTCCTTTGGTGCTCCTTGAACAGCAGCTGTAGAAAAGGAAATTCATTGCAGTAACCTTAGGGGCTGATGGCTACAGACAGAAGATGCCTTTCTCCTAAAATCTGCCGTTTTGCTTTTAGAGTTTTATCCGGAGAGTCCTTGACTTATAACCACTCATTTAGTAACCGTTCAAAATTACAACAGCCCTGAAAAAAGTGACCTATGACCCTTTCTCACAGGACCCCTGTATCATCCCCACGGGATCAAAATTTGGACACCTGAAACCTGGTTCATCTTTATGGCAGTTGCAGCGCCCCGGGGTCAAGGGATCACCTCTTGTGACCTTCTGACAAGGCAAAGTCAATGGGGAAGTCAGATTCACTTAACAACCGTGTTATTAACTTAACAACTGCAGTGATTCACTTCACAACTGTGGCAAGGAAGGTCGTAAAATGGGGCAAAAGTCAGTTAGCACATGTCTTGCTTATCAACAGAAATTTGGGACTCAATTGTGGTCATAAGTCAAAGACTATCTGTAGTTTGATTCTGTGAGCCCTCATCTTTCACCAAGCCATTGTCTATTTTCTCAACATTTTTTTTTTCCTTGAGTGTTTTAGTCGGTTTCTCATACCTGCTCTGGAGAAACCTATCCCATGGGATTCTCTACACATAGTATAATGTCCGCCACTCAGTGAACATTATACTCCATTCTCTTAATGCAATGTTCTCACGTTAAATGTCCTCTCTTTCTGTGGGACCTTCAGCTTTCGTAAGTAACAACCAGCATAATTGTTAGCAATTGTTCCTGGGGATGTAGGATCTGGCAATCAACATATGGAAGGCATAAAAGTTTTGGGAAAGGTAAACTAGTGCTTGTTAGCCCTGACAGCAGAATGGAAGCTGCATATTCCGATGGCTTATGTGTCTCCAGCCTATCAAATGTCAGATGGAAACATAAGGAGTTGCTTATACACCTTGTGGTTTTCTTAGCTAGCCCCAGCTGGCTGTGCAGAGTCTAGATCAGTGGTTCTCAACCTTTTTAATGCTGCGACCCCCAACCGGTTGTAAGTCGAGGACTAAACCGGTCGTAAGTCGAGGACTAAACCGGTCGTAAGTCGAGGACTACCAAAACGGTCGTAAGTCGAGGACTTTCCCTGCCTGGGAGCGCCACGCATGCGTGGTTCCGCCCCCTGCGCCGGCCGAGGCGTAGCTGGCAAGCGGCAGAGACGGAGCAGGCCGACCACCAGCTGGCCCAGCCCAAGGGAGGTAAGGCACCCGCCGGAAAAGGGGGAAAAAAATGTCGGACAGCCTTGTTTGGGGACCGTGAAATGGTCGATCGACCCCAAATGGGGTCGCGACCCATAGGTTGAGAACCGCTGGTCTAGATGGACCCTGATCTGTTAAAGAAATTTCCACCTTTTTAGTGCTTTTTCCAGGAAGGTGATGCCACCTAACTTTCACTGCAACTAACAAAACCTGATATAATGTGCTGGCTAATTAGGGGTTAGCCAGGAATCAAAAAGCTATTGGTTTGAATCTCACGTCTTTCACACATCTCCCTCTCTTTTCCATTCATAATATAATAGGAAAGGAATACCAGTGATTTCTCTTATAGAATGACCGTAAATATAATTAACTAGTTCGTGTATCTGCAGCATTTTGAACATTTGCAATGTTAACTATACTACAGTTCTGATCATTCCTCCAAAACTATTGAACAAAATCACACAGCCAGTTCTTCTGTTTCCTAGGACGTGTCGTTGTCTTCACTGGGAAATAAATATATTGCACATGATAGCCGGCTGCTCTCTCAATAGTAGCACTGAGTGGTTTCCCAGCTTTAATCCTCCAGTCTTACCGGATGGCAAGGCGCTGCTTCTGCCTTCTCTGGTTTGAGAATCAGACGGGGCTGGCACTTGTGGAAGAGGAGGAGGAGGTGGGATGTTAACAGGAATTTCAGGGGGAGGGGGTGGAGGGGGAGGGGGAGGAGGGGGAGGTGCCCCCTCTTGAAGATCTAAAACAATAGAGAAGGGACACAAATTAGTATTCACAAATACCGTGGAAATGCTCTGCTGGTCTCTAGCTATCTGCGACTGTTTTAAAGTTTCGGTTCCTCAAAACTGCATTATTTCAGATTTGTACCTTCATGCTTGAACATCAAAAAATGAAGAGAGTAGCACTGGGTGGTTAATCACCACGGGACTTATTAGCACTCTCCCGAGGAAGTTTACACACTGTGCCAAGCCACCACAAGTTTGATTTGTCTTAAAGTAAAGCGAAACTCTAGGCAGCGGGGACTGTAAATCAGTTTATTGCTTAAGTGAATTGTAGACCACAAATACTGCAATACACCGACACCCTTGAAAGAGCAGAAAATCAACTAACTAAGAAGTGACACAACACAGCCAGGGGACTTTCAGGCTGTTGAGTTCAACCCCATGCTCGGTACAGAAATCCAGATTAAAGCATTTGTACTAGACGGCTGACCAGCTTTTGCTTCAACACGTTCAGTTAACCGTCTCCCTCAATAACTGGTTCCGCTGTCAGACTTATTTCTTATGATTAGGTACCTTTTCCAAGCATTCAGCTAAAATTGCCTTCCTGTCATTTTAAGATTATTATTTTGGTGTCTGCTAGGATGATAGATAGTGACTATTTTTCTCTGCAACAGCCCTTCAGAAACTCAGTTGTCTTTATTAGGAGCTAAACAATCAATCCCAATCTTTTGAGAAGGCTTGGTTTTCAGTGCTAAAACCTGTTGCTTTATCAATTTGGAGAAAAGTTTGAATCCTGAAAGACTGGAGCTCTGAACTCTAGGCAGCATTCAAAGTATCAGGTGACCAAAGCATCACCAGAGTAGAAATATTATATTCTTTGATTTGGAGAGTGAACCACTATTAATACAACCAATAACTGTGTTTTCTTTTTCTGGCAGCAACCTCAAACTACAGACACACTCATACAAATCAAGGAAATGATTTGGCTCTTCAATAAACAGTTTTACAGGTGGTTTATTGTCGGCCAGCTAGATGAATCTCACTGCTGCCTAAGCCTCATTAAAAACAAGAAGGATTACTGTCATCTCCATACTACTATTTGCAGATGTTCACAGGGAGCATAAAAGAAAGCGAGAGATACCTAGGGCCTTATTCTCTAAACCAGTATCTACAAGAAATATAGGCTTACTTAAAACGGATCAGTAGTTTGCTAATCTGCTACAATAATCATGGGTGGGGAACTATGACTTGTGGACTTCATCTCCCAGAACTGTGGATTTCAACTCCCATGCTGGATCAAGAATTCTGGGATTTGAAATCCACATGTCATAAAGGGGCCATAGTTCCCCATCTCTGTGCCAGATGATAAAAAGCGCAAGGATTCCTAATCCCAAAAGGGAATAAAAAGACCATAACATCTCCCCACCCGCAATCAGCACCCAGCTGAGCATAGCGTACCTCCAAAATAAACATTCGACCAACAATCGAGTAAAGAATACCCCAGTCAAGGAAATGCCAAACAAGTCAACATTAACAGCGTAACCAAAGAACCAGTAAGACCACCCCAGGTCAGGCCACTAGAATACAAACTGGGAGGAAACAGCACTCCTTACTAGCACTGATGATGTTACCTAGTTTGGGTAATGGAACATCTGCAAGAAAACAACCAAGTTCAAAGAGCATCAAGGACCTCACAATTCTTACTGATTATGTGAACGTTGTTTTTAGGAGCAAATGCAGGGTAACAAGTGTTAGTTTCCCCAAGACTTACATTATCTCCTTGAGCAGAGCATCCAGATGGGATGAAGGCGAGAGTCAGGGCAGGGGTAACATTTGCGCAAAAGGGCAGAACTGCCTCATGTGTCCATTTGATCCCACCCGGCCCTGCTTTTGGGGGGTTTTTTTTGTAATATATTTTATTGGTTTTTTAAAAAACATAAATCACTTAATAATTGGTGAACAGTGTGTTGTCTGGGTTACATTTGCAAAACAATCATTAACCACTGATTTCTATAATCCATAATCCATAATCCACACAGTTGTATATTTAATGGTTATCTCTCAAAACAATGAGAATTGTATTAACTCAATGTTTGCAAAGAGGATATTTTGGGGGAAGCGGCCCTGCTTATTTTCCACTGTGCCCTTCAGGAGGGCTTACTACCTTGTCGGAAGATCTCTGTGGGTTCCATACTGAAGGTGGGCAGCTCAGGTATAGCAGCCCCAGGAGCAGAAGGTGCAATGCCGGGACCCAGGTCTGCACTATACATGAGGTCTGCGGCAATGCCAGGCAAGTCAGGCAGATAGGATGGCACGTCTATCTCGGGCACCTGCCCCAGGTCTGGTACATAGAAGTAATTTTCAGCCACCTGAAAAATAGGCACAAAATTAGAAACATCCAGAAATTCAACTTCCAGAATTAAGTATGACAAACTCTAAAAATGTTAAATGTGTATGCTAGAACCTTTATTGTACAGGTAGTCCTCAACTAGCCACCATTCAAAATTACAACGGCACTGAAAAAAGTGACTTACAATCAATCCTTGCACTTACGACTATGGCAGCATCCCCGTGGTCATTTGATTAAAATTTGGGAGCTTGGTAACCAACGTGAGTTTATGATAATTGCAGCATCCTGGGTTCACATGATCATCATTTGTGACCTTCCTAGCTAGCTTCCGACAAGCAAAGTCAACGGGAGAAACCAAATCCACTTAATTTCCATGTGATTCACTTAATAATCATAGCAAAAAGGTTGTAAAATCAGGCACGACTCAGTTAAGAACCATCTTGCTTAGCAATGGAAATGTTAGTCCCAATGGTGCTAGTAAGTTGAAGAATACTGTACCTATAAAAGGGAATATTAGTAGCTTAGGGTTGAAATTAGGGCAGTAGTGGCGAACCTATGGCACACGTGCCAGAGGCGGCACTCAGAGCCCTCTCTGTGGGCACTTCTCTGAACTGCTGGTGGCGGGCTGCGGACCCCCAAAGTGCGCCGGTCGAGGGGCCGGCAGGCAGTGGCTGCTGATGGACACTGTTGGCCTCCATGTGCTCGCTGGCCTCTGTGTGCGGGGGCCGATGGTGTCAGGCAGCAGCTGCCCCGGCCCGTCTTGCCTTGCCCTGAGATAATGGCACCCCCCTCCTGCCTCACCTCCTACCCACCACCCCACCTGCCAGAGACCCCCTGAATCTCCCCCAACCCTGCCCGGCCCCCACAGGCGTCCCTCCCCACGAGCAACATCGAGGTGACCATGCCCACCTTGGTCACACCCACCCAGTCTGCCATGATCACCACAGCCACACCCACCCAGTCGGCCACACCCACCTGGCACCCGGCAATAAATAAGTGGGTTTTTGGGTTGCAGTTTGGGCACTGGGTCTCTAAAAGGTTCACCATCACTGAATTAGGGGGTCCTTGCTGCCCTCTGAGTTTGGCCGTTTTCTTGCAGGCATTTCATTATCCACAGCACTGATGGTCTTACCTAGTTTGAGTAATGAAACATCTGCAAGAAAAGAACCAAGCTCTGAGAACACCAAGGAGTCCTCATTACTGTGCTGGTATTCCCAGTATGCTCAGAGGATCCTCCTACACGGAAATCCAAAGTAGGCTTATTGCAAATCATATGGGCTATTGAAAAAAAAAATGTGAGTGTTTTGCCCAGATAGGTTCACTATCAATTCTTGGGGATTTAGCAAGAGAGAAGCATGGGAATTTTTCTTCTTCTCTCATCCGGCTTAAAGAGCTCACCAGCTGATCGAGTTGTCCCCTCTTGGTGATAGAGAGGGGGGCGTCAAAAAGCTTTTCTTCTCTTTCTGTCTCCAGAGCCACATGGGTCTTGGTCACCGCGCCAGCCAAAGGATCGAGAAAGACATACTTCTTATATCTGGGGAAGAACAAAAGAAGGAAAAGACAAGCTCATCTGTTTACTACAAAGTGAACAAAGCAAAGACTCTTAGGCAGGGAAAATGTATTTTCCTCCATTATCAGTGTTTGCCCTCCTTTTTACAGGCTCTCAAGTTATATACAATGCTGGAATAATTTCCTGCCCACAGGGATTTCCATCCACCAAACAGAGGCAGTCCCGACCCAGGTTTGCCCCAATTGATCGTGGGTTATTTACCATAAAAACATGGGAGAAATACAGTGTATTTTAAAAGCCCTGCAGACGCAGACTCAAAGCTCACTGCTTGAACTGTGAGGCTTTATATATATATATATTTACTCTGCTCGTGTTTTGAGACTGTCATACGGACTTTAATAAAGAAAAACTGAAGTTGACAGTTTATCCAAGGGACCAAGGCAGAGGCACAAGCCTAAAATCTAGTTCACATTTAATTAGTTATATCACCGGGCTTCGTGGAGAAAGGGGCAAAAGCAATATTTTGAGAAGGCTACAAAATTAAAGAGGGATTTGCAAGAGTGGGAATAAACTTATCAACCTGTCAGTTTCCCTCCGCTTAATGTAATCAGTTCTGCATCAGCTTTGACTTTTCTCCTTTTCTGCAACCCAAGACCGTATCACTTCCTTGTGTGCAACTGCTGTTTTATAAACATGACTTTGTTTAATAATAACAAAAATAGTCAGAGGAAAGTGCAATAAAAAAGGAGGAATGAGGCTGGAGAAAAAGATGGACAAAGCAGAGAAGCATCAATGGGATTTAAGGCTGATGCTGAGAAAAAGGATAAGGACTGGAAACCTGACTTCAAGGTGGTAAAATTAAAGCAGGGAGATGCTTTAAAACAATACCACCACACCTATTTGGTCACTCGGGGCTAACATAAAAATAAGCAGTGGCACGATAGCAGTGTTCCAATATCTCAGGGGCTGCCACAAAGAAGAGGGAGTCAAGCTATTCTCCAAAGCGCCTGAAGGCAGGACAAGAAGCAACGGATGGAAACTCATCAAGGAGAGAAGCAACCTAGAACTAAGGAGAAACTTCCTGACAGTTAGAACAATTAACCAGTGGAACAACCTGCCTCCAGAAGCGGTGAATGTTCCAACACTGGAAGTTTTAAGAAGAGACTGGACAGCCAGGTATAGGATTTCCTGCCTGAGCAGGGGGTTGGACTAATGACCTCCAAGGTCCCTTCCAACTTTACTATTACTACTACTATATTATTATTATTATTATTATTATTATTATTATTATTATTATTATTATTATTATTATTATTAAAATGGGTTCAGGACCACATTCCTAGGACCGTCTTACTCTTTAATCAGTTGAGGGGTGTTTCTGTGGCTATTTCTTATTTTAGGCCCATTAATCCTATCTGAAGGCTTAAGGCAATTTACAGGTAGTCCTTGACTTACGACCACAGTTGAGCCCAAAGTTTCTGCTGCTAAGTGTGACCGTTGTTAAGTGAGATTTGCCGCATTTCACGACCTTTCTCGCCACAGTGGTTAGGTGAATCACTGCAGTTGTTAAGTTAGTAACGTTAGCTAAATAAGTTAAGCTAGTTAAGTAGGTTCGTAAAGTTAGTTAAGTGAATCTGGCTTCCCCATTGACTTTGCTTGTCAGAAGGTTGCAAAAGCGGATCACAGGACCCCAGGACCCTGCGATCGTCCTAAATATGAAGCCGTTGCCAAGCATCCCAATTTTGATCATGACGCCATGGGGATGCTGCAACGGTCGTTAAGTTTGAAAAACGGTCATAAGTCACTTTTTTCCGGGCCGTTATAACTTCGGATGGTCACTCAATGAACGGTTGTAAATGGAGGACTACCTATATTTGCTTAACTTACTGCCAGAAACCAATGCTGGCTTTTGGGTGGCACAATCAAGGGAACCCTGGGGAACACAAAAGGATGGGGCCGTCACGTTCAACCAATGGATTCCCGCTCCCCTCCCTAGGAATCCTTTCCCTGTTGAGGGAAGAGGAAGGCGGAGAAGCAACTACGGAGGACACTTACAAGTTCTCGGTGGTATTGAAGAGCAGCAGGGAACTGAGGGAGCTAATGTTTCTGGGAAGACTGCCCAGGCCTTCTTCTGCGTCGTCTTCATGACGGACTCTGGTGGTAACTGAAACCGGGAAGTACTTCAACTTCTCCTGCAAAATTCAAGCCACACAGCTGTCAACATCCCAGCAGGCCTTTACTTCAGTTGTTTAGATTAGGCCCGGGGTAGGCCACCTTGGCTCTTTTATGACCCGTGGACGTCAACTCCCAGAATTCCTGAGCCAGCTTGGCTGGCTCAGGAATTCTGGGAGTTGAAGTCCACGGGTCATAAAAGAGCCAAGGTGGCCTACCCCTGGATTAGGCGTTTAGAAAAACCTAAAGCTACCAAGGCCCCTCAGAATCACAGCCCTCTTTCTTTCAATGCCCACCGGTTTCCCTGCCTCTCTTTCCTGCTGCTGGCTGTCACCTGTAGGATGGGGAAAGGTCAATGTAATGACATCTCATGGCTTTGTTGTAATATCAGACTTAATAAATGAGAGGGAGGGACTGGGGTGCAAAAAGCAGCACACACACATACAGCATGCCAACCGCTTCGTCAGTCCAACTTGAAACGTAGGTTAGAATTCAGGCAACTAATTCTTGCGGTTGTGGTTCTGGTTTCCATAAGTTACTGGAAATCAGTTTGCCTCAATCCAACTTTTGCCCCTTACTACACACTATCCAACTGCTGTATTCCCTTTTCCAAAGTAACTGCTCTTGCCTTATCTCGCACCCCGTACAGTCTGTTTAGCCCAGGGGTAGGCAACCTTGGCTCTTTTATGACTAGCGGACTTCAACTCCCAGAATTCCTGAGCCAGCCATGCTGAGGAGAAATGGAGAGGTTTCCAAGCTGAGCCATGCTGGCTCAGGAATTCTGGGAGCTGAAGTCCACGAGTCATAAAAGAGCCAAGGTTGCCTACCCCTGGTCTAGCCTGAACCAGGTATTTTAGGAAGCCTGAAGTCCTAGAGAGTCACTCTCAAATGTAAACAATATTGAGATGAGTAGATTAATATTAAAATAAAAGAAATCTTAGTGTATTTGCAAGAGGTGAAGTATTTTCATGAAGTATTTTCAAAGTGTTTTGTGGTCTGGGGACATGTGACATCTCTAAAACTCTTGTTATCTTAATAGGATTGATCTCAACCGATGGATGGGTTAAAAAAAATATATCACAAAAAATATAGTAACTGCTTGTAAACAGCTTGTAGCGTTCAGAGGATGCTTTTACTTATTTGCTCCTAATATGCAGGGAAAAAATACCAAAAGTAAAAAACTGCAAATTACCCAGCATTAATTCTTCGAGTTATATTTTTTTGACGCAGGCCTTAAAAATGCACTTTTTTTTCTGATGCAAGCTCTCCTTTTAGACATAATTAACTGCTGCACTGTACAACATATAACTTTCGGTAGCCAACTTTATTTCCATATGTGTACTTTCAGCAGTTTTTTCAAGGAAGGAAAATTAATCTTAGCTGATTTTTCTCTACTGCAAAGTCAGACAGGGGAAAAAAAAAAAAAAGCCCAAATCTGCTTCCAGGGAACAATTTCCAACTTTAGCAGTTTTCAGATGGGTGGACTTCAACTTTCAGAATTCCCCAGCAAGCATGATGGGAATTCTGGGAATTGAAGTGCACATATCTTGAAGTTGTCAAGGTTGAGAAACACTGTTGTAGATAAAAGGACAGTGCATTTGATCAATGTGTAGGTCAAGTTTCAAGTAGAAAACAAGGAAAAAGCTATTTTGGGTGGACTCTAGAGCTCTCTGCATATCCTGTACATTAGTGCACTGAGTTCTGAGGCTAGGCTGAAATATTCATGCTACTTTTACCCTGACTGATTTTGCTTCCATTAAACTACAGAAAAATGCAAAGCGCTGAATTATTCAACGGCAGCTTATTTGGGGGGATTTTGAAAAAAGAAAACAGAATGTGAGCCTGAAGCAGCTTCATTGGCCCTTGTCTGGTAGGACAGCTTTTCCCTCTGCATTAGGATCCAGATGTATACATCAGTGGTATCCCAAGAAATTAACATCATAAAATAAATTCTCTGGGGGGATGGAATGTGTCCTCGGAGAGCTGTTAAAAGAAAACAAAAGTCTCTACAGTATTAGTTGTTTTTCTTTGTTGTTGGCTGTCCTGTGCAGTTACAGGAGACTCCTAAATATTGGAAAAATTGCCAGCTTAATTTTAACTCATCCGTTCAGAAGAATGCACTCAGGACTTACGCAGAGTCCAACCCAGGAACTACAATTTTATTTGTGGAAGTTCAGTGTCTGGAACAAAGACTATACAAAAATGAAGCACTAATTTGGAACTGCTAATAACTAGAGATGCACAAAACAAAACCACAAACAACTTCCTGCTATGGAAGATTTATTTCTGAAAAACCCGTTGAACACCCCAAAAATGACTAGATCAGAGGAAGGTCCAGAGAAAAAATGGAATATTCCAAAATTTACCAAAAGATTTTACATACTCATTACTAAATATCTAAAGAATCCTACGCTTTCAGAAAGTAGAGCCTGAAAAGGCTCTAGACCAGTGATGGCGAACCTTTTGGAGTCCGAGTGCCCAAACTGCAACCCAAACCCACTTATGCATCGTCAGGTGCCGGGTGGGTGTGGCCCATTGGGTGGGTGTGGCCCATTGGCCGGGCGTGGCTGCAGTGGTAATGGCAGACTGGGTGGGACTAAAAAGTTCAATCAATTCCAACTTTGCAAGATCTTTTTTTTCCCACGAGAAGTTGAAATTGACTGATTGATTGACCTTTTTTTTTTTTTGCACACGGTGGCAGAAGCCTAAAGCGAAAAGGTTTTATAAAACCCAGCTGAAGGCCTAGGACTGCGGTGACGGCGCGCGTGCCCACAGAGAGGGCTCTGAGTGCCGCCTCTGGCACCCGTGCCATAGGTTCGCCACCACTGCTCTAGACTACAGGCAGAAAAGAGCAGGCCATAGCAAAGGGAAATGGGAACTTCCCCATCACTCCTTTCTCCACTCATACAGACACTGACTAGATCAGGAAACATAATTCAGGGATGCAATTTATCCCACACGTCTCAATGATACAATCAGTGAGAACAGAGACAGTTTGTGTGTGCAATATACAAACAGAAGATTAGTTATAAGAGCCCTGGTGGTGCAGAGGGTAGAATGCAGTATTGCAAGCTGACTCTGCCCACAGTCTGGAGTTCGATCCTGACCAGTTCAACCCCAGCCATGGGGTTGATCTGCTGGGTGTTTGTGGGGGGACGGAGCAAGCTGGGAACCAGGGTCAGGGGTTCAAAGGTGCTTCCTCAGCTTTGGCCACTTTAGGCAGCCTGGACCACCTCCCAGAATCCCCCAGTCTCAAACTTGTCCCAGTCCAGGCAGCAGCCCTGAAGTGAAGGGACCTCTGGCTTCTGCTCGGGGCCAGGAGTTGGGGGGGGGGAGCCCTGAAAGGGGTTTGGCAAGACTCACAAGAGAACAATTGTTGCCTCCGCACCAGGATTCAGCCTTCCATCCTCTTGAGGTAAGTAAAATGAGGACCCAGATTGTTGGGGGCAATAGGCTGACTCTGTAAATGGCCCAGAGAGGGCTGTAAAGCACTATGTATATAAGTATATAAGTCTAAGTGCTATTGCTATTATTTATTTACTTATTTATGCATATGACTGAATACTGTACAGTCATAAAAGTGCAAGGGAGTCATTTTAAAAATATTTTCATAGAATCCTTTAGGGGCTACAGAATAATCCAAAAAGATTCTTATATAAAGAAGATCTTTTTTTCTAATCCACGCAATACTTTTGCTGCCTGGGACCTCTTCAGGCAATTCCTGCCCTGATTCAGGACTTTGCTGTCTGGCGCCATCAAAAACCCAAAGCAAAGAGAAGCCTCTTGAGTAAAGAAATGTGACTGTGTCCTCTGACTTCCCTTTGACTATCCTTACCTGTAAGGACTTCTCATCCAATGCTCTGTGCTTGCTCTGAATCTTGTGCCTCGGTTGTTTCTGTGCCTCTGGATCCTGAACGCCAGTGAAGATGGAAGCATATTCTTGCAGCCGTTCTGGTGCAGGGTATTTGGAGCTGGAAAACACCTAGGAGGAAAAAAAAAATAGGAGGAGAGAATGGAAGAAAAGAAAGTAGGTTGCCAGCACACAATCAAGACAGCCTGGTGGCTTTTAACAGAAAAAGAAACATACACAGTTAACGTGCTAATACAGAAGTAGGGACTAGGAACCATCTCAGAATTTGATTCCTTACCTACAAAATAATCTACAAGACTCTGATACAGGTAGTCCTAGACTTAAGGCCACAATTGAGCCCAACATTTCCATTGCTATGTAAGACAGTTTTTAACTGAGTTTTGCCCCATTGTACGATCTTTTTGCCACAGTTCGGTGAATCACTGCAGTTGTTAAGTGAATCTGGCTTCCCCCATTGATTTTGCTTGTCGGAAACTGGCTGGGAAGGTTACAAATGGTGATCCCATGATCCCAGGACAGTGCAGCTGTCATAAACGCGTGCCAGTTGCCAAGCGTCCAAATTTTGATCAAGTGACCATGGGGATGCTGCAACAGTCGTGTGAAAAACGGTGCTGTTGTAACTTCAAATGGTCACTAAACAAATTGTTGTAAGTTGAGGACTACCTATACGGGGCAAATGCGACCTAGGTATTTGTATGAATAAACATAAGTATTAGTATGGATGAATTACAACTAGGGGCAACTATGATGCTAGTTAAGAGTGGTAGGATTCAGTTCCAAGTTCTGTCTCAATTTACTACCAGTTTGTTAACTGCACTGGGCAAGACAGTCTCTGGCTTAACATTCCAGACGTTTGCTAGTATAATATCTGGATGCTTGTAAGAATGCTTTAAAAATACTGCTGAGAGACAAAGAGGCTATGGAGTATAACAAAACAGTGGAAATAAATAGGCTTACTATCCAATCCCCAAACTAGATCATGGCTACTATAGAAAGCAACAGATTAAGCACCTTCTTTCCTTAATAACCAAGATACTGATTATTACTGCAACCACTTTGTAGTTTGCATTTTTTTAAAAACACTCATTCATGCAATTGGGGACTGTGTAGCTGCTGTTAAGGCAGCTTGGCCTTTAATCACAGATTAATGGAAGCAACGCCATTCAAAAGAACCATTGCCATAGGCATCCAAACCTTAATAGCCTTTTTGCTGCCCTTTATCTTCTCAATTTTGGCTTGAGCAAGGGTGACCCGCTCATTGATTGCTCGCAGCTGTGCCCGGCTGACTTCCACTTGTTGGGAGATCCTAAAAATCAATCAATCAATCAATTTAAAGCAGCATTTAACAAAAGAGCAACAAGAAAGAGTTCACTGGTTGGTATACAGATTAAGTAAAACAATGTCTTTCCAATAAAATAGCTATCACTTAAGCACCATCAATTGCCTTCTTTCCCCTGATAAGGCCAACCAAGACAAAGGTTGCTGTAATTTTGCCAACAAGCTCCTCAAATAGCAGTAGCATTTAAGCTTATATACCACCCCATAGCAGTTCTGGGCGATTTATAATGTAGAAGCATTATTTTCATATTGTATGACCGTTCATATTACATTCTGGGTCCTCATTTTACCGATCTCGGAAGGATGGAAGTCAACCTTGAACTCCGTCAGGATCGAACTCCAGGCAGTGAGCAGAGTCAGCCTGCAATACTGCTGTCAAGGTTGAATTGCTAAGATGCATGCTAACTTCTATTGCTACTCAACTTGCCATAGAAACAGGGGGGAGGGGTAGAAAGCATGGGGAGGAAATGGGATTCTAAGAAGCCATCCATGGACCGTGAGAGCCTACAAGAATGCCAAGGTCACTAATGCAGGTGTCAAATGGAGAAGTGGACTGTTCCCATAACAAACCAAAGATATATGATTGGGCAACGTGAACATCTGGTGGGTGGGGGTTAAGGGAAGCTATTGTTAACTAGGCAAAATTTTGTGTGGGAAAACCACAGCTGGTTTTGCTTCTTCAGTTCTGAGATGTGAGGCAAAAAACAACAACACCCAACTCTCAGGAATGGGTGTTCAGGTTTGAGAGAAAAGAAGAAAGAAACTGGATTCAGTTTGTAAGTCAGATGCAAGTAGAGTTTGGGCTATAGAACTGCTTCCTTTTGCAACAAACTATTTCTTCTGCATTATGTTGTCTTCATCCCAATTTCATGCATTTGACTTTCTTGTCAGCTCCACAAAATCTTGGAGCAAGAAGCCCTTACCAAGCTCTCCTTACCCTCCCTTTAACCTTATACCGGTACATAGTTTCTAAGACTACTCGTAAGAACCGCTCAGAAGCTGTGGTAAATGTAGCAACCTGGCTTCAAGCAGTGAAGAGTTGGCTGAGTAACATCATGCCAGTGTTTTAGTTGCTACCAAAAAGCTCTGGGTCCAATTTAAGGTGTTGGTTTTAATTATTGTACCAACATTGAAATATTGAGGTCGTTCCCTTGCTGATCTAATCTCTTGTGTATTTTATGTTTTTAAATTGTAATTAGTTTTAAGTTAATTTTAATTTTTAAAAACTTTAATTAGATATCTCTCCAAGGTAAGGAAAACTCTAACTCAGCCTTCCCTATGTGCTCATCTGAAGAGGAATTGCAGCATTCCTCATGAAGTAGGGACATTCTACTTTCCAATCCTCATGAAGTAGGGTAGGGGTATCAGTTCTACACAGTAGAAGGCCTTGTCCACTTATTTCCCTTTTATTACATGGTTAAAACCACTATGTTCCAGTGAATCTTTGGTGTAAAGCTGGATCTGGGTGCCACTAGAACTTTTTGGTAGTGTTTGGTGATTATTGTTTGTTTGCTCCAACATTGGAAGCCTTTAAAGAGAGAGTGGACAATTCTTTGTCTGAAATTGTATATGGTCTCCTGCCTGAGCAGGGGCTTGAGCTAGAAGACCCCCAAGGTCCCTTCAAACTCTGTTACTGTACTTTTCTACAATTCTGTTTTCCCTTCATTATTATGGGATACTGAGTGTAGGTTAATGAGGAAAAAAATGAATTTCAACAACTGTAGAATTAGGCTGCAGCATAACAAAATTGACAAAGGTGAAGGGGGTCTAAATATTTTCTGAATGCACTTTACATAAGCATATGTATAAAACAATAGATAAATAAAATATAAGGTGATATACTATGTATGACTGTCAAGTGACTAATACAGATGTGACTGGCCAAGGAAAGTCTTTCAAAAAGTAAATAATTATTATATCCAGAACAGAGAGCCAGTGTGGTGTAGGGGTTAAGGCACTGGGCCAGAAATCAGAAGAGTGTGTTTTACTTCCATTTCAGGCACAAAGCCAGCTGGGTGACCTTGGGCCAGTCATTCTCTCTCAGCTCTAGGAAGGAGGTAATGGCAAACCACTTCCAAAATCTTGCCAAGAAATCTACAGGGATAAATCCACACAGTTGTCAGGAGTCAACACTGACTCAAAGGCACAATCAATTAATAACCCAGAATAGTCATCATGCAAATGAAATGTCTCCAAAAAGAAAACCATAAAAGTACTCATTTACACATTTGAGCCTATTTGTATGTAATATTTAACAAATACCTGTAAATAATTTAACATCTTCTTTTTAACAAGAAAAAAAGTTCCTTGTTAAGCTGGCTAGAACAGATGAAACCATCTTCTCTCCAAATAAAATCCAGCCTAAAATACTAGCCATACAAATGAAACCACGTCAAGTTTCTCTGAATTATTAAAGCTGAGGTTGGAAACAAAGAACCGTTATAATCCTTCACACTAAGCCAATGAAAGAGTGATTGATATTTGCAGAAGACAGATTAATGTCCTCCCCTTCCCCAATTTTGCAAAATAAATGTATTGAGATTAAAGGACAGAAACAATGTGCCGATGAAGGGGGACACCAATCATATTCACTGACAATCAGCCTCTGTTGCAGAAAACCGGCATTTAGATCAGGCAGTCCTGATTCATTATTTTTTCAGCTTCAAGGATTCTAGGCTGAATGTGAAAAAAAAAGTGCTGTTACAACCTGGAGAGTAATTTACAGGATTGTCAGTATTTTATTTATTTATTAATCCAATTTACATGGTCACCCATCTATCATGTTGAACTAAATAAAAACAAGAGATTCCCGAAGAATTCAAATAAAACTATATCAAGCCTCTCAAAACCAGATATACATAGCCATGCCAGAGCCCCATACTAACATCCTGACCCAGACCTTGTGGGAGGAACCAGATCTTCACAGCCTTGGAAAGGGCCAACAGAATAGGGGTCACATATATTTTGGGGAAGAGACTGATACATAGGGCAGATGACACGACAGAGAAGAGTCACTTCCTAGGGCCTACCAAATGACGTTGTTTGGAACCTGGAACCTGGAACATGTCCTCTCTGCCAGATCTGGTAGGATGGGTGGAAGCCACAGGGAAAGATGGTCCCTGTCCTGGTACCCTGTCCTGTGGTCTTTAAAATGACAAACAGCACCATGAATTGTGCTGGGAGACAGTGTAACTCATGTAGTCATGATATGGATGTACCATGTGATGCCTCATACTGCACACACCACTACATTCTGGACCAGCTGAAGCTTCTGAAAGCTCTTCAAGGTTAGTTCCAGTATTTTGAATAAATTTTTATCTCACTTTTATTTTTGGTCAATTCCAGGTAGTACTTAATACAGTAATATATGTAATATAATGTATGCATGCCTCCTATTTTTCCTACAACAATCCTTTGAAGTAAGTTGAGCTAGCCCAGTCATCCAGCTGGCTTTAATGACTGAGGGTGAACTGGGGCTCATGATCTCCCAGTTAATAGTCCAGCATTTAGACACTACATCATACTAGCTCCAATACAAGGAAGATGTTTATTCACAAATTGTCTCCAAGTATTTAGTACCATAGCATACACATCTAAATTTTCAGTACCCTGGACAGAATTGATGCATATTGATGACTAAAATATTTAGAGGGATTGAGCACAGAGGAAAGTTGATACCACACTTAATGAACTACAGATAATCCTTTACTTATGACTACAGAGCCCAACATTTCTGCTGCTAGACACTTGTTAAATGAATTTTGCCCCATTTTACAACCTTTCTTGCCGCATTTGTTAAGTGAATTACTGCAGTCGTTACGTTAGTAACACGGTTGTTAAATGAATCTGGCTTACCCATTAACTTTGCTAGTCAGAAGTTGCAAACGGTGATCACAGGATCCTGGGACAGTGCAACCGTCAAAAATATGAGTCAGCTGCCAAGTGTTTGAATTTTGATCATGTGACCATGGGGAGGCTGCAACGGTCATGAGTGTGAAAACCAATCATAAGGTACTTTTTCCAGTGCTGTTGTGACTTTGAACAGTCACTAAATGAATGGTTGTAAGTTGAAGACTACCTGTTATCAGATTCACTTCTCTTCAGTCATGAAGCCTGGCTCCAGGGAATTATTAACGCTTCTTTGCAGGAGGGTGTCTTCCCGGCGGCCCTAAAGGAGGCCGTGGTGAGACCCCTCCTCAAGAAGCCTTCCCTGGACCCAGATGAGTTGGCCAATTATCGCTCGGTCTCCAACCTTCGCTTTGTGGCGAAGGTTGTTGAGAGTGTGGTTGCGCAGCAATTCCCTCGGCACCTGGATGAAACAGACTATCTAGACCCATACCAGTCGGGCTTCAGGCCGGGACACAGCACGGAAACGGCATTGGTCACGTTGGTTAATGATCTCTGGAGGGCCCGGGACAGGGGTCATTCCTCTGTCCTTGTTCTTTTAGACCTCTCAGCGGCTTTTGATACCATGGACCACGGTATCATGCTGCGGCGTCTCGGTGAGTTAGGAGTGGGAGGCACTGTTATGCAGTGGTTCTCCTCCTTCCTCACCGACCGTACGCAGTCTGTATTGGCAGGGGGACAGAGGTCGACTCCTAGGCCCCTAACTTGTGGGGTGCCTCAGGGGTCGGTCCTCTCTCCCC